CCCCCCCCCCCCCCCCAATGGGATGAGGGACCGTGAATGCTCAGAGGGGGGAGCTGAGCTGGCTGGAGGCATAGGGGCTTTGTGGGGTGGGGGGTGCTGGTGACAGCTGTGTCACCACGTCCCCGAGCTCTGGGCTGTGCTGTCAGCCCTGTGCCCCATATCGGGGTGGGTTCTCTCGGGGGCCCCGCTGGCAGCTGGGGTTGGCATTTAATCCCTTCGGTCCCCGGGCGTTCGTCCAGCCTTCTCTGTGCTCCTCTGTTCTTCTGGAGCCATCCCAGGCCCCGCTGCTGCCGTCGGGTTTGCAGGGCTTGGGGTCGGTATTCATCCCCCCTCCTGCGGCCGCTGCTGCTCGGTGCCAGCTGGGGATGAAGGGGGGGGGGTTCTCTTCCCCCCGTGCCGTGGGTGGCCCCCCTCCGGGGGGGGGGGGGGCTGTGGGGCTGCCCGTCCCCTCCCAGCACTTGGTTGCCTTTGTTTGCAAACAGCATGGGATGTTGAGAGCCACACGGTGCTGCCCCCCTCCTCAAAAACACCCCCAAGCACAATGCGCTCAGTCCCGTTTCCTTGTGCCGCTGCAGAGCTTGGTTTGGGTCATGTCCTACCACCCACACCATGCCCTATAGGCAGGAGATGCTCAGGGTGCTCCTGTCCCTTGCATGGGGGTTTGGGTGACATTTGGGGAGCCTGATGCAGTGGCTGACATGGCTGTGCTCCTGGGTGCAACCTTTGTGTGCAAAGCTGGGGCAATTGGAAAAGGAGCTTTTCCACCCCATTCCCCAGTGGGGCCATTGCAGCCTCTCCCACCTCCTTGTGGGGTTGGTTCCATGTCCATGGGGACACTTGGGCTGGTTGGGGTAGGAGCCCACCCTGGGCTGTCCCACCCCCATATCCTGCTAGGGGAGACCAGGACAGTGTCTCATGATGTCTGATTTGGAGACCCTGGGGTGGGTAAATGCATCTCCCCCCATGAACGCATTTATTCCAGAGCCATTCAAGCTGTTGCCAATCCCATCTGCAGTATTTGCCATATGGGATCTCTATAGGGTTTCTATAGGGGCGAGTGGCTCTCCTCTGCAGGGGGGTCCCGGCCTCCCTTCCCCCTCTGTGCTGGGAAAAGGGGGTTCAGAGTCCATTGAGGTTTCGGTGCCGCCCGTGCAAAGAGCAAATAGGGGTGGGGGGGAAGGCAGCCCTGGGGCCCTTTCCTTGCTGGGGGGGTGGGGAGTTGCCTGGCTTTGTGCTGGGAGCAGTTGGGGGACCCCACCTCACCGAGAGATCCTGGGAATGGCGTTTCCCTCTCGGTTCTGTGTGGGATGTGGGGCTTTCAGAAGGGACCCCAAATACGCCTGTAGCTGGGGGGTGCGTGACCCCACCATCACCCCAGCACTGCATCCCTTGGCACGTGCAGAAAGGCCGTGACCCAGCACGGTGCCAGGACCCCGGGGTGCAGCCCCCAAAGCCCCACCAGCACCACGTTCCCACGCCCCCGGGAGCATCGGGGGTCGGTGGGGCTGGGTTGGGCCGGGGGGGGGGAGGCACCGGGTTGGCGGTGCAGGGCAGGGCCCGGGCAAGCCCAGGGAAAGAAGGAGGTGTTGGAACGCAGCACGGGCAGGAGGAGCACCCACAGCCCCCGGGGGGGTTGCTGTGATGTTGGGCTGGGCGCTGGGTGCAGCTCTGGCAGGAGGAGCTGGCGGGGGGCCCGACCCCCTCCCTGACATCTCGCCCCCACGTCGGGCTCCGGATGGAGCTCCTTTTCCCACCCTGAGCATCAGGGTGTAGAATATACACCCCCCCCCTCCTCCCCAGGCAGCAGTGGGTGGTGTGGGGAGGCATTCTGCCCCACAGGGAGGTGGGTGCAGGGTTTTGTTGGCTGCTTTGCTTCATCCTGTCCCCTTCGCTCCCCTCCCCACTGTGCCCAGCTCAGCTGTCGTGTGCTTAATCCTGCCCGGCCAGGAGGGAGCAGCTGGGATGCAGGAGGGACCCCCTTGTCCATTGTCCTTCATGGTCGTTGTCCCTTGTAGACAGGAGGAGCAGCAAGTCCCCATTGCCCCCCACCCCATAGCCCCCCAGGTTGCACCTCTTTGCTGTTTGAGCAGGGAGCCCTGGGTGGCTTTGTGCCTCAGTTTCCCCATTACTTAGGGAGATGGTGACACTGACACACGGATGGCCCCATCTGGGAGTGTAAGGAGTAGGATGGCCTAGGACATATCCCTCCCCCCCCTTCCCCCCCCAAAATCTCTGGCAGATGTTTGAGGTCTGATGTGGGGCAGGTGTTTCCCATGCACCCAGCTTTAACCGTTGGGGGGCAGAGCTTTGGTGGGGTGCTGGGGAAAACCTGCTGGGGGGAAGGACGGAAGGAGGGAGGGAGGGAGTGCATTCCCACAGGAGCTCGGGATCAACCTGGCTCCCTGGGGGGGCTGGAAAACAGCCCCTGGCGTTCTCCCGCCGGCCCCCTCGGGTGGGCATGGAGCCGAGCAGCCCAACCCCTCCCTGCAATGCTGGCTGAGCTCTGAGCAGGAGCTGTGCTGAGCTGCTGCGGGACCCCACTGCCATGAGGGACGTGCTGGGGGGGGGCCCTGTGGGACAGGGAGC